AAATGAAATGAAATGAAATGAAATGAAATGAAATAAAATAAAATAAAAATAAATAGGATTTAGCAGTGACATTTCTTAGGAGTGGCTCTTCATCCACTTTAATTCCAATAGGAATTTTGGAGTTGATTTTTTCGGAGGGAGGAACAGGAGAACCTGGATAATCCTAGAAGCACAGGAGAGAACCAACCAGCGATCGATCAAAATGTCTCAAATATGGTTCAAAGTAGATATGACTGATTGCCTTTTAAATACGGCTTTTTAATATCCTCTTCCCTGTCCCCCCTGTAATTGTCAAACATTTTCTACAAGAATGATGAATTTATTAATGAGGCTTTTCCTTTTTCGTGTGCTCAGGTATCATATGTCAAGGCCATCGATCTATTCTTCATTGTCTCTTTTCTGTTCGTGTTTGGTACCATTATGGAGTATATACTGGTGCTAGTGAAATGTGCCATGGAGGAAAAAGCAGAGAAAGAGAGAGAAGGCAGACATAAGCATCTTGCGCAGGAAATGAGAAAAGAATATGCGGTAAGACTTAAGGACGTTTATTGACATATCGTTGGTGTAGCTGATTGTTCCCGACTTGCCTGCGACGTATTATTAATATAGGAACATAATCGGTCGTCTACCTGCGATGTTGACAGCAAATTACTGGATTGGTGGAACAATATTGAAAACTTGCTAGATTTTCGCCGTTCCGGTTTTACATTACAAGTGCCTCCCAGGCTGATGGCTACATGACTACCGCATTAATCACCAGCTATTTATCCCAAGCATCGATATATCGGGAATGCCATACAGGCTTAAGGCAACAAATGCAAGTCCACACTTGTAGCAAAATAGCTTAATATGTCTAACTTTCAGTATAAGTTTTAAAAGCTAAGCAATATTTTTTGGGTCATTTTCGAGAGTTCCATGAACAATTAAAGAGAGACAAATAATAAATTTATTTCTTTCGGTAAAAATGGCTTGTTTTTGACAGGTTTTCATGTTTGTCTTGTTCGCGCGTTTTTACCAAATAAAAGGTGAACGTCCACGCAATTTGGTAGCTAAACAAAGCCGGTGACTTAATTTTTTGTATTTGCTAAAATGACGTTTTCTATGATGTACTGTCATCATGCAAAACATAAAAAACTGACGATCTTTTGCTCATAAACGCGTTTTGGAATGTAGTACTCGCGCTCCAAAGTTTGACGATTTTTCACCGTAAAGCAGTACTCTCTTTTCAATATGCAAAGCGTTTTCAGTCTTATTTCTATTTCAAACAGAAAAGTTCTTCCTTCAATAAAACTCGAGTGAATGCCAGAGAAATCCCGACAGAAGAAGGCATCGAAGTTTCCCAGAATGGCCAGGAACAATCGTCATGTGAAAACCAACGACAAGCTTCGCAAAGAATGGGAATGCCAGGAAGAACAATCGAAAAAACTAAGAACCTGGTACGATTTGTACTCTTCGAGCACGACGCCCATGTAGTGGACCGAGTGTCTAGGGTCGCTTTTCCGTTGGCTTATTTGCTTTTTAATGTTGTATACTGGATGTATTATTCTTTTGCATCCTTCTCCTGAAAACCTTATTGGATATTGTTTTCAGCATAAGTGATACTTTTTCTTAACTCCTTAGCTGTAAATACCGAGTAGACATAACAAAAATTATGCGTTCAGTGTGTGTAATGAAATAGAGAGAATAAGAGAAAAATATCAAATGCCGGAATCGAACCCACTCGGTATTCAAGTCCGATGTGTTAACCACTACACTACAAGGACCAACCATGCTGGTAACGCAGCCGGAATATGAAATACGGTATATTCGTAAGGATCCCAGAGCGATATTTGTTTCTCTATAGGTATTTGTAAGATTGTAAGATGCGTCACTATTGCAGCATCCAAAGCTGAAGAGCGAGTAGTTAGAAGTAGTTATGCACGTTTCTATGGCGCGTTTCAGAGGACAAAATTATATATGTGTCACTTATACCATTTGATTTTTGAAAAACAATCTTTTTATGCATTAAAACCTTTGAAAACACACCTGTTCTTTGTGAGATGACTACGGAAAATCTCTTTATGCATTACTACTTTTGAAAACACACTTTTTACAACAACTTACAAATTTCTCGCGCGCTGATTGGTTATTTTTTATCAACAATAAGAGGACAGACAGATAAAGCTGACGTCAGCGAGCGCGCATTCTTTCCGTTGGTTGGTTTGATCACTAAAAATGAAAAGTTTTTATCGTTTTTGTTATTGTAAAAAACAAATAGACATCAGTTTTTTTATGTGTCTGTCCTCTTATTGTCAATAGAAAAACAACAACAACAACAACACGCCTCGTGGATCCACATTACTTTGACAATGTGATGACGCAATTTATCGTCAATAAGAGGAGAGACTCATAAAAAGCTTATGTCTATCTGTTAACTTCTTTGTGAGTTGACTTACGAAAAACGTTGACCGGCTCGTGCAGAGTTTTAAACCCGCTAAGCCTCTCGTTTCACATCCGTAAACTGCCGTATGATGTCACGCACTGTTTTTCCCGCACTTGAAACCCACTTCCGTCTCGAATACAGTAACAATTACTGTAACAATTTAAGAATCAATTTTTGAACGACTTCTGCTTACGACTTCCGAACACTCGATAACTTCCGAACACTCGATAACTTCCGAACACTCGATGACTTGCGAAATACTTTTACGCCATGCGTTGTTTGGTCCCATTTAATCACGTGATCTGTTTTTCCAGGTAGTATACCACTTTAGTTTTATGTTAATGTGACAATGAGAAATAATTGTTAAATTAAATTGTTAAATTGTTAAACGCCACGAACAACAGATATGAGATCTGACTGGGTAAATGAAATTAAACAACATAAAGAAGAATGATGAAAATCCAGCATACTGTATGTAGAAAGATACTCCAACGATGTTTCGGCAACCATTAGTTCAGTTGCCTTCTTCTTTTGAAGAAGGCAAGTAATGATTTGTTGAAACAATCCACAAGAATCGACCAATAACTTGTTCCTATTAATATTCCGAAGTCTGAATATAACCTAAAATACACTCACTGCAAAATCATTGTCTAATTCAAAACAAAGGACATCTATCGCGGGCCTATTGATGAAGAAACTGCCGAGTAATCTGGGTGGAAGAGTCCTAAAAATGTCTGTTAGCAAAAGCTTCTCTTCAAGAAAGTAGGGAAGACAGTGAATTCCTAAAAAAAGGTCCTTTAAAAAAGATTTGAAACATAAAACAAGTCTCTAAAGCGTCAAAGATCGTATTAGCAAAAAGAGCATCTTCGCATGCTTTCACGTATTATAGTGATGAATCACTTGTATATTGCAAAAAAGAATAAAAAGTCTCTGGTAGCCTACCTTTATGCCATAAATATCTAAATTTGAAAATATGAAGACGAAAGAGAAAAATGACAGCACACGTCTAAAACGTTATCATCTCGTGAACAATGAGGTGTAGAAACCTGGACATCTCGCAAAATGTTCTTGTTCCTATCGTTATAGAGGGGCTGTTTTCTGGAATAATCTACCAATAGACATTAGAGATTACGCTTTCCAGTGGAGGCTGTAAAGTACCTTCAAAAGACAGTGGGAAAGGTCCAAGACAAACGAAAATTAAAAGAGAAAAAAAATAAAGGTACGATTAAAAAATCATTGGCGAAGTTTGATAGCAAATTCAAATGTACATTTTCTTATTCTACATTTAGGAGCTTCCAAAAACTGTCTACATTTTAAAATTTAATGCAAATTCTGACAGAATGAAAGTGATTCCCTCCAAGCTGACACGGCAAACCTAGACGAGAATCTTAATCAGTACAATAGTGACAGTGGATGGGTTTTTGAAATAGCAGAATAAAAGTAAACGTTAAAAGCTGTCAGCTGTTGATACCATAAATGAATTTCAAATCTAGTTTCTCTCTTTTTTATAACAATTGAAGCAAACTGATAAAACAAATAATGTCTAAAGCGAGCCAGTACAATTCACATGTAACTGAAAAACTCCAATCCAGCCATCAATTCCTCGAATGATAGGAAGCATGGCTTGGTATGACGCGGAAGACCAAAGGCTAATCAGACTTAGCTAAAGGCATACCCATAAAAAAAATAGATAAGATGAATATTCATCAAAGCATTGCTTACCCACTTAGTTGCAGTCTTTGTTTTATTCCTCCAAATTATTTTAATTTCATCATCATCTCCATCATCATCTTTATAATTTCGATTAGTGTTTTAAGTAAAGCTAAAAAAGGGGATGCCATTTTTCAGGGATATAATTTTTAACCCAAGAGTTATTCTTATATTTTTTATATAAGGATGGACAAATACAACGGTTTTAAGTATAGCCTGTGACCATGACCATCTAACCCATGCCACGGTTGTCGGGAGCCAATAAAACAATGTTTTCGTTAATCAAGGGTTGAATAGTGTTTGAAATATTTCTTTAAGAAACATTATAGCAAAAGAAGAAAATGAGACAAAGCAAATTCAATGATAAACTGAGGGATGAAGCCAGATACGTGTATACCTATAAATTATTCAGTTTTTATCTCTCATTTGGAATTTAAATTAATGTCTAATACCACACATCAGTATATTTAAATATTCAACATTCATTATTGAAAGCACATGTTACTTGTTATACTGGACACACGAACATCTATCAAGCCATTAATTGCCGTAATTTTGCGGATTTGACCGTGCAAATGAAATAGAAAACTAATGTATACATAGATATGAAAGTGAAAACTTTCACTTATTGGTTTGTTATGTAGATGGCAGAGCTCGAGACACTAATTCAGCTCCTCGAGAAGTCATCAAGTAAATAGTAGAACTTTCTATGGTTTATGGTCAGGTGATGGCTCTTTTTGTGTTGATTACGATGTTTATCGCTATGGCAAGAGCTTCTCGGTAAGTACTCAATGATAGAAATTAAAAGAGAGCATCCGAGTCTCAGTTTGAAGACTACAGTAAAGCAAAAACACAGCTGAAACTGTAAAACGCAGTTGGATTATCATTTGGGTCCTCATAACTTTAATATTTAGTGCAACATATATTTATATCATATGTTTACAAAGTAACAGAAGGAGATTATATTTTTACTTACTAACAAAGTCAGTCCTCGCTTATTATTAAAGCTTAATAACCTCTTCAAAAAAATTGTTTTCCAAACACATCTTAAGGAGGCTGTGGGTAGTTTTGGTCTGGCACACCTAGCCGCATTGAAACGGCTACAACTTCGTCTTGAAAAACTCGATCTGCAAGCGCTTTTCACTCAATGTAAGGAAAGGATTAAAGGTTTCAATAACGATAAATAAGTTTAAAGCGGCCTTTTTGTTATGACGTAATGGTGACATCATAGAAATCGTTTACCGCTTATTTTCTCGAAAACTAGACCTAAACTTTCAAAGCGACTTGCACCAGTCGATAGTATTTATCAAGGCACCCAACATATTGCAATATGAAAAAAATGTATGAGAGCGTTTTCCAAATATTACGCGATGAATATTTTCATGGACTTTTACTATTATTTCCAGCGTGTCAACTTTATTCCCTCAAAATCGAGACTTTAATTTAGTGGATTCAATATTTTTAGTAGCTAGAATATAGCTACGGACATAGACACTGTCCTTATTGAGTATGAATCGAATTGTGACTTTCTTTCTGACGTTATGGAGTTTTTGATATGAAGGTGCCAGACCAAAACTACCCACAGCCTCCTTAAGCCAAGTAGGCTCGACTCTTCAAACCATTTTTAATTTGCATTTTGAAATGCAAGATAAATTTTCAAATCATTCGTGAAGATCCAAATTAAATAACGACACCAGACTTATACCATAGAATTTAGATTTAAATATAATGTTCGTTTAAGTTTGTTTGTTTATTTATTTTTTCTTAGTAATTATAGTGCCTAGAAATTTTAGAGTAAGTTCTGTTTCAAAATAAATTTATCTAGTTCATATAAAACCATCCAATAAAAATCCGCCATCTTTGATATCTGCAATTGAGTCCATAAGCCTTTAAAATTCAAGATAAATTATTATTTTCTTTGTATTTGGTACATTAAAAGCTATGCCTTCTTGTTATTTTCAACTGCCCGGCACTGGTTTGAAACACAACTATAATTAATCATGCATTGAAAAATACATATATTTGCATAAACGTATGGATTACAATTTATGATTTATGCCAGATGACAGTTTTATTTTGCAACCGTTGACGTTTCCGTTTTGAAGGCTCATTAGCCAGCCGTATTATTTTCAACTTCAAATTACCGGATTTCAATTTCATTTAACCTGTCCATACATTCCGTTTCTGTTTTAATAGTGTTTTGGTTCAGTTTGACTAGACGAATGCAAACTAGTCCAAAACCCTTTATCCGTATATGTACGCTGTATAATACTCTATACTCAGTATATTGCCAGACCTATAAATAGAGTCAATTATGAATACGAATATCTAAACTTTAATGATAGTTAACAAAAAATTATGACCAGCGAGAAATAAATACATAAATACGTCGAGTTTGCCTGAAGAAAAGGCCCTTTTAAAAATCAAACCATTTTTAGACATAGCAATCAGTATTAATCATATCCTTTCAATGATTTCTTTACTATGCGTTGACAAAATTATTTACAAATATATGACTTGACATGATATGACTTTCTCGAACCCGACTACGTTTTTTCAATTAGGTGTATATAAAAAACATGAACTCGTTAATGTTGTTTAGGAATAATCTACAAGTTGAATCTCAGATATTATCTCAATTGAGTTATCTATAGATTCACATTATATATTATCTATATTCATTTACATACATATAGCGTTATATATTAACATTGAATATCAATTTTGTATCTATAAAATAATAAATTGTCCCCTTGTTCAGTGTAGTTGTAAGTTAACTGTTTGAGATAAAGGCTGTGGACTCGAAAGTTTATACTACTTCAACAGCCAAACACACATATGATATCTTTGAGTACTTATTTATCAAGCATAAAAAAACATTATGTAAGTTAATTTTGTGAATTATAATTTGTAATTGTATTCATTGCGTGTGAATAAGCTTGAGACACTTACTTGAGACACTGACCGACCGACCGACCGACCGACCGACCAACCGACTGACTGACCGACCGACTGTCTGACTGACTGACCGACCGACCGACCGACCGACTAACTGACTGAATGACTGGCTGTTTGAAATGGACAGAAATGAAGATAATAGCAGAAAGGATGAAAATCCTTTTGTAAAAGGGGAAGAAAAGTCCTAAACCCATAAGATTAAGAGTAAAAAATATTTATTATTGATATTATTATTATTATTCTATTATTATTATATATATCATTATTATTTGATTTTAGTCTTCAAGAGAGCTCGATGTTCATTAATTCTCTTAAAGATGATTCAAAGTATGACAAGCGGCTGCGGCCTTATCACAGGGGTAGGTAAAGTGGAAGACAACAAACAAAATGTGCCATTTTGAAGGATAGGATCACCTATATTTAAGAAATATTTAAGAATATTTTTTGGTCTTTTTGCCATCCAACATGGCTGCTTCCACTTGGAGAAAACTTCGAAAGAAATTAACCATGTTGGAGGAAAAGAATCGGTTAAAATAAAAAAGGCTCTGTTCTTCTGTCACCTAAAATATAGCTTCCTTTTATCTTGTAGATATTGGACGCAAGCACTGAAAAGCATATTGAATTTAGGTCATTTGGCATGACTGCCATGTTTTTTCCCCCAATGTATTTATCTGCCAATTTGGGGAAGAGTAGCAATAAAGTGTGAATCTTTTAAACTTGTGACAATAAATAGGTTTCTTTTACTTTTGTTTCTAGAAAGTACTCTGAATATAACAGTTGGAATGACAATACTTTCCTTTGGTGAAATTAATGAAATTGAAGGAGTAAGTAATAAACTTAAATCGGTCTCTGTACACCTAGACTTAGCAACTTCATAGTAGTGAGAGCTTTAACTAATCAATTAATATCAATAATATTTTATAATCTCTCGTCAGGAATTCTCTTTAGATATATTCTTTCGCCAAACCTGGATAGATCCAAGATTAAAGCACAACAACACAGGTCCAGTCGTTTTAACTGGGATTCACACGAACCTTATTTGGCTTCCTGATACTTTTTTCATCAATGTCAGGACTGTGAAGAAACATGACGTGCCCTCGAGTGCTAGTTCCATTAAGATACAACAAAATGGGGAGGTGAAGTACAGTGAGAGGTACAGGAATGAAACAAAAAAATACCGTTACCCCATATACAGCTATTTCAAAAAATGTAGTGAAGGTTTTGTTGTATGTTGTATACCAAGCTTTAACTGCACACTGGTTGATGTTAGTACGATATATCAGTGAGCAAAAGCTCACAACAATATGAAGTTTTCCTAAACTTTCTCTGCCCATCTTACTTGCATAATTTCGTCTGTGCTGACAATGTTTTCATATAAATATATAACATTTCATGCATAGTAAGCAACATACAGCATACGAGATGCAGCGTGTGCAACATGTAGCAAAACCTTCAACAACCTTTAATGAAATAGCTGTATGCATAAATGGATGGATGGATGAATGGATGGATGGATGGATGGATGGATGAATGGATGGATGGATGGATGGATGGATAGATGGATGGATGGATGGATCGATGGATGGATGGAAAGAGGGATAAAAGGACATATGGATGACTACATTCATGACAAAATTTGGCAATCTCATAAGGGCACCGCTCGAGCAGTGCCTCTCATAATCACTGGTCACCGGACCAATCACAGCGCGCGAAACCTGATAAACCCACTTAACTGAAGCCACTGCATAATTCTACTTGTAGGGTAACTTTGTCGGCGGGATGTGAAATCGACCTGCATCGATATCCTCTTGACTCGCAGATTTGTAAACTTCGAATTATGAGTTGTAAGTAGACGACGAACTTAATCATACATCATTTATCGTATTAGCCGACTTAAAGAAGAGTTGACTAAGCTAGGTTTATTGTTACTCTCTACCAATATAAACATTTACTTATCGCACCAAATAAGCACCATTTCCTCCTATCTTTTTTTCGTGTGAACGCTTCTAATGATAGGTATGCGTTTCTTGTCGTAACTTGCGTTTATCGATCGACTCGTTTTGCGTTACTATAACGTCATCCTTGTCCTCTTATCTAACATGACTATTAGCCAATCAGTGCGCGATAAATTGAAAATTGTAATTTTAATTGATAAACTGTTGGTGAAACCTATTGGACAATAATGCAAAGCAAGTAACTATAGTGTTGAGACATTAATTAACATCATTGCTAACAATTATAAACATTGTGTCCACCTATAATTTCTTCGTTTTTGTTTTTTTACATTATCCAAACTTTATTTCTGATCTTCAGATGGCTTATTACAAAGTTCCCTATTAATTTCTTAATATATTTTTTTAAAAGATGCTTACAAAAAAGACGAAATAGAATATCAGTGGAACGGTGACGCCAAAACAGACATCGCCGTCATGAATGATCAGATGGCGCAGCTGATAGTAACCGATATACAAAGAATGAAAACCACCGCAGTATTCAGAGAAGGTACATTACCCTGCTTATTCCTTGTCTTGTAAATATTATTAAATATATTTAGGCACTTATTCCTTGTCTTGTAAATATTATTGAATATATTTAGGCACTGCCTAAAAGCGGGGCTCCCGATACGCAAGTCACAGGGAGCCCAATTTGAATGAATGTGGAAGATAAAATTAAAATCAATATTAAGATAATGTCTCCCACAATAAAAAACACGCACTGAAAACGAATCAAAATGCACTACATCGTTTTCTTTACGCGAGAATACTCTCCAACATATATGAATTTTGTACACAACTCACCACCAACCCCCCAGGGGCGAGTTTTTTTCTTGGAAGATTCTTCGACATAGTTTTCTAAGGCTGACTGTTTTAGACTTTGAATCTCTTTTACTTAAAAAAAAAGAAAGATAACTACATATAATCCAATACAATATCAGGTTTACTGTGAAATTTACCTCGGATGTCTTTCATTGAAATCGAAATTTTGGAGATTTCCGAACTTTTATGGGCAAATCAAGACTATGAACCAGACTTGAAAACTGGTAAAAAAAAAGGTGACCAAAATACATAAGCTTACTTTTACTTCTTTTACACTAGTAACGATGTTTGGTTAATTATCCACATCAAAAGTTTTATGTTTTTACAAGAACCGTATTTTCATTCATAAAAGTCCTAACTGTTTTTCGAGAAACTGAAAACATAAGCTTACTAAATTTTGAAAATTCAATTTTACCAGTTTTCATATTGTTAACGACAAAAGTTTTTGAAAAGCTAATAAGTTTACATTCATTTTCACTTGACAAGAACAACTGAGGCAAAAAAGAAAATAACGCAAAATGCAATGCAAATACAAAATAAAATTTTCTTTGTCAGTAAATTGGCATTTGGAAATGTTTTTTAATATTTTCTTAGCTTTTGAAAGTGAAAGACAAGATACCGTTCTTTATACAATAACATATCTCACAACAACACAAATTTAAGCTCATTTTTATAATCATGTACTAGGCCGAAAAGCTCAATAAACAGTTGAATATTTGGTGTAATTTTAAAACTCATTCAATATTAAGATAAATTATCTGTAGAAAGATATAAAATTATTGAATGAAATTCAAAATGAAAGTACTCTTACCATAATAACAAAACAGGTACACTTTTTTCGCACGCTTGTCATTCTAGTTGCTCGTTTGCCGGTAATTTTAGGAATGCTATTTAGCTTTAAACTTTGTCAAAAATCTCTTGGAATTGTTTAATTGTGGAATGCAAAAAGTGTTTTTTCAAATGATTATTTTATATCATGTATGAACTACACTTACCATAAGAACAAAACGAGTACTTTTTTCGCTCGTTCGACATGCTAGTTTGTTGCTCGTTTTCCGGTAATATTGTATTTATGTTATCTACACTAAATAAAACAAAATAGAAAATGTCCTAACCTCTATCTTCACACTGTGGCGAATTCTTTTTTTCCATGATTTCTTCAATAATTCTTTGTTTCATCTTTACAATATTTACAAATATTGTAGTTTGATAGTTAAAAAGCTCATAAAAAAAGTCGTCATTTTCCAAGTGACGTACGTGTGATTTGAAAGCTCGACCAATCAGAAACGCGATGTACACCTGGCAGGCGACACTTTTAGCGTTACGCACAGGGTTCCCATGCAATGACCACGAAAACTGAGTTGCATAGTTTACCATATTCTATACCTATGGTTTTCCGCTCGCGCGGGCCTTTGGCCCGCGCGGGAGCTCCGCTAATATAGATGTGTACAGGGCAAGCGCATGGCAGCTGAGAATACTGAGAGAGAAGCAATGTGGGGTAGTTTGGATCGAGATGCCTTGGTTTGCTATCCGCGGATGGAATGTAAATGTAGAAATGTTATCTCGCAAAAATGATCAGTTGCTACTATATTCAAGATTCGGCCGCTTCTGATATGGCTTCGATTATCATAAATATATATTTATCATTTGCTGTTTAAATCCAACTTCTTAAAAATCCAACTTCTTAAATCACATTAACTTAAAAAAACATCTTAGAACTTAGAATCTTAGAATCTTTTTAAACTAACTTTTAATAACTTTTTCATTATATCATCTTATCATTGTTTATAGCGCTTAGAACAGACCTGAATAAGCGCTTTATAAATTTATTATTATTGTTATTATAATTATTATCATTATTATTATTATTATTTCAAAACGACAAAAGAGGTAATCAAAACGTTTCATACAGAACAAGAACATAAACTAGACAACGTTTTGCTATCCCAAGGTTTCTTCTTCAATAACGTAATCAATTTTTCCTTGTCAAAACTAAATGGCTTATGGTCATGCGCACAATCTAACCTTCCTAAGAACATCTACAACTTCACCGTACGCTACATAAATAACACTCTCCCAATAGGAAAAACCTTGTGAAATGAGGTATCTCGCAATCACCAGATCGTTCATATTGTCTTTCATCCGAATCTCTATTATTAACTCATTTTTATCTTTTTTCAGTACATTTTTCAGAGCTTGTGGCTTCGTTTGAATTTCGACGACGTCTGGGATATTCACTGCTTCAAATCTACGCTCCCACGTTCCTCGTCGTAACACTTTCTTGGCTGTCATTCTGGATCTCGAAGAATGCCGTCGCTGCAAGAATAGCTCTGGGAGTCACTACGGTGCTGACCATCGTTACTCTTAATGGATCATATAGGAGCACTGTACCAAAGGTAAAAATGATACTCAGTACTGTCGTTGATTTTTGTTTCGCAGCTAGCTGTCTCTGCAACTTTCATTGCAACTGTGCATCGCATTAAAGGTGTAGCCGTGATTGCAACCACAGCAAGAGAAAGTGAACTAAAATGATCAAACAATATGTGATATTCATGCTTTTAACCATCATTGGCACAGTTTGAAGCTATTACGTCTTAGAATCATTTTTTGCCATCCGTTTATTTTTGCATACGCATACTTCGCGCACTCTACGCTCTCTTTGCAAACGTTTTCTTGAAAAACTAGTACACACTTACAAAATACCTGCAGGCAAACAAGGTATAGCGAGCACAACGCAAGAGCAAAAAATAAAAAATAAAATAAAATCGACCAAATAACATCTCTGATTATGGCATTAATGATTCTAAAAATATCATAATAGAGTGCTCTTAATTGGAAATCATTTTCTTAGTTCATTTCTTGATCACAGCTATTATATTGCCATTCCAATTGCAACTGCCACTTGCACTGAGTTACTGTACAGTGTGCACTTCTCAGTGCTCTTGATCATTCATTTTGTCTTCATTGTGAGTTGCCAAATCCACCCCGTTGTCATTCAAAATGCATATAAATTCCTAAACTTAAAGGATGGCTTATAATGATGACTAGCGCACGGCCACCATCTTCATGCCACTGCCACCCTTACCTATTTGCCAGCGTAAATTGTCTTTAGCGAATATATGGAAAGCACTCCTCTGTACTTTTATCTATGCTACTATGAAACAGCAGCCTAGTTGATACGAAAGGACTTTTAAATACCTACGTTTCCGTACAAGACTGTAGAGATTAAGTGCAACATAGCTATCTTTTGTCAGAATACATGTGTCTTACGTCAAAGCACTTCAGTTATATCTGATCATTTGGTTAATTTGCTTGATTGCTCGATTTAGTAATTTTTTGTTCCAGGTCTCTTACATCAAAGCTCTGGATTTATATTTGATTGTATCCCTTTTCTTCGTATTTGGAGCTGTTTTGGAATACATTGCAGTACTTTTGCATCACGATTATGGTTTTCAATCCAAAGTTAAAAACGATAAAAAAGAGGACCAAGAAATACAAGAAGTAAATAAGGAGAATGCGGATCAAGACATAGAGGTTAGTTTTGCAAAGTCTAAATGTTATTGTCGATGATAATTTTTATGGGCTGTTGTCGATGTCGCTGTGCTTGTGCTTGTGCTTGTGCTTGTGCTTGTGCTTGTGCTTGTGCTCGTGCTCGTGCTCGTGCT